CACCGGGTGATCCTGATCTACAAGAATACTTGCACAAGATGCTCGATTCCATCATATTCGAGTCCCGGCAGAATGTAGTAATGAGTTGGTTCTTCAGCGTCCTACAGGACCCAATGCAACTATTTTAGTTAGTAATGACTAGGCGATACAGTCTTGAGCGTTTGTTACGGCTAATCTTCTCTATGGATACTCACCTAATAATATGGAGAACTATCACGCAAAATTGATCTACGGATATAAAATCCCGCTATTACAAACTGAGTTGGGAAATCATGCAAACCTTTTCAAGCCAATATGGCCAATATCATTAAAATCTTCAACTATTAAGCCTCCATCAATATCCCCGCTACAGACATCAAGGTCAAATGCATACGTGACATGGCGTGCGTATCTACTCGGATCCACTTACCAGGACAAGACTAATGCCATCGCTATCATCCAGGCCGGCCAATTATTTCGAGTGATCTCCATAAAAACTAAATCAACTAATCGTTTCAATCCACAGAACAAGCTCTTAATCAGCAATCCCCCGCCTGCCCCATTACGCCGAGACCGAGGTTTGACTTCAATGACAGTCTTGGTGTCTTGGTGTTGACCTAGACAAGCAATCGTGGTGTTTAGTTTGGCATTTGATACTCCTTGTGGCAAACAGCTCGTAGCTGACGATCTCTCAGCCCTACGGGACATAACCATTGCAGAGCACGTAATCCCCGGCGTGGGCTCTACTGTGTTATCATCACATATTCTTCTGATATTCGAACTGTGTTAGCAATTAGAATGATGGATGAAAAGCAAGCCCTACCTGAGACCTCGCCGCCGCAACTCGAGGATGGCTTGAAGTCTTCAACAGACGAGGAAGAAGTATATTCAATCTATCGCGGCAGATCCAAAATTTTCATTGTCGTGGCTGCATCCATCGCTAGTCTTTTCTCCCCGCTCTCGGCCAATATCTATCTTCCTGCACTCAACACCATCGCCGATCAATTGCATGTGAGCAATACTCTCATCAATCTGACAGTCACTACGTATATGGTATGGATATTTGGACAATCCAAAGTTATCATTCAGTACCGAAATATAAACATAACCAAACTAACCCACGACCGACTTAGCTCTTTCAAGGCCTAGCCCCAGCCATATTCGCAGGTTTCGCAGACAGCGCCGGTAGACGACCCGCATACATCGTGTGCTTCATCGCCTACATTGCAGCCAACATAGGCCTAGCCGCTCAGCGCCACTACGCGGCCCTCATGGTCCTCCGCTGTCTTCAGAGCACAGGGAGCAGCAGCACCATCGCGTTAGCGAACGCAATCGTAGCAGACGTTGTAACCACCGCCGAAAGGGGCGTGTACATCGGATACGCCTCGGCAGGGGGCGTCGTCGGCCTCTCTGTCGGGCCCATCATCGGCGGGCTTCTGACGCAGTTTCTCGGCTGGCCTTCGATTTTCTGGTTCCTAACCATCCTAGCCGGCGTATTCTTCCTTCCCTTGCTACTCTTTCTACCCGAGACAGCGCGCAAGATCGTAGGAAATGGCTCCCAACCTCCCCCACTCTGGAACATGTCGCCCCTGCAACTCATCCAGCAACGGCGATCTCCCAACACAGCACCGCCGGTCAAAACACGCATTCACTTCCCGAATCCCCTCAAAACCCTAGTCATCATCTGCGACAAGGAAGTCTGCCTAATCCTTCTCTGCAACAGCCTCGTCTACAGCAGCTACGCCGCCGTCACAACAAGCGTAACCTCCCAGCTCAAGCACCTATACGAGTTCAACGACGTCCAGATCGGCCTCTGCTTCATCCCCGCAGGCGCAGGCAGCCTCCTCGCAGCGTACACCCAAGGCCGCATAGCAGACTGGAACTATCGACGACACGCGCGACGTCTCGGAATAGCAGTCTCTAAGACCCATCGACAAGATCTTAGCGAGTTCCCGATCGAGAAGGCCCGCAGTGAAGTGATATACCCGCTCGTCGTGGTCCTGGGACTGAGCCTGATCGCTTACGGCTGGGTTCTCCACTACGGGACGAATCTCGCGGGCCCGCTCGTGCTACTACTGCTTGTTGGGTATACCGCTTCGGCGACGTTTAATATCATGAGTGTTCTTATGGTTGATATCTATACCGACAGTCCCGCTATGGCTACTGCTGCTATGAATCTGACGAGGTGTTGGTTGGGGGCTGGTGCGTCTGCTTTGGTTTTGCCGATGATTGAGGGGATGGGCCGCGGGTGGGCGTTTACTCTGATTGGGTTGTTGTGCTTTTTGTGTGTGCCTCTTCTTATGGTCGTGTCGAGGTGGGGACATGGGTGGCGGAGAGCAAGAGATTCGTGAGGTGGAAGAGAGAAACCGAGGTGTATTGTCTGACCATGACTGAAGCGTCCAGCGCAGCAAAAAAATTGTATATACATAACACTTTGTAGTATCCGTGACAGGGTTGTTCTCTCTTGTGGGAAGACATTTTTCTGCATTACCTGAAATGCGATATTCGTCTTGTTTAGACGTGTTTTGAATACGCGCTGGCTGTGAGCCTAAAGACAAAGAACAAGCTAGATACAAGGCATTTATGATAACAATAAGAACTTGGAGACAGCTTTGATATATTTTGAGAATATGGAAAAGTAGTATTTGAATATTTGAACCAGAATAGCAAGATGTTAAGCACAATGGTTTTCCTATAACATCTGGTAAAAGGTATCTTTTCATTCAGAAACTTTGACATGTTTCCCCTTCCACTATCTACCAGTTGGTCGACTCTAACACTTGCCGTGGTTGGGATCCGCCCTAGAAAAACATCAGCGTTACTTCCCAAACAACACCACACATCCACGGGGTTCACAAGAAAGAGGAAGAGAAAATAAGAAAGACGCACCGCATATACCAGCTCCCCTTATCCTGAGCCCCACCGTGATCACAATTTATCATCTCCTTGAGGTACTTATTGCAATCCGAAGTCGAAAGCTTCGCGTGATCATTGCCCTTATTCTGCAGATAGAAATCCACGCGATTTCCACCCGACGGAAGATTATAGCAGTGGAACTTGGTCTGGCCAGCTCGGTAGTCACCCGCGCCGCCCCGGCTGTTGCACCATCTGCCTGCGTAGTCGATGGCTGCGTTTCGGCTGTCGCCCCATTTCTCTCCGCCGCTGTAGCAGCCTGCTGTGGCGAGGCCGGCCGTGGCGAGGATGGTAATGAGGGAGGTGAGCTGCATGGTGGTGGTGGGTTCTAGTGTGGGATGTATGGAAGGTTTGGTGATGTTCTTGTAATCTGTCTACCTTGTATCCGGGGGTCCAATGACTTATTTATACTAATATCAAGACATACTGCGGATTAAAAGTACCATACATCTTCTCTTACAGCTGTAAAAGGAAACACCCCTTCGGAGGCATTTCCCGGCAATGCCACAGTACTGTGTACCATGCACCTTAGCTCTGAGATAAGCCTGCGAGCATAAAGTGCAGATGGTTGGATAAGTTTCGGTGTTGAGCCCGCCACAGAAATCTTTTACGTAGAGCTATACTAAGCAAGTGTATTTAGGGTGTGGAATTGACAGCGGGATTCCATAGCGGGCAAACTCATATGACAAGCCAATGGCAGCGGCTGAAATACGAGGTAAGATGACATTCAGAAGCGGAAGTCTCGCGCCCCTTGCTTCTCGCATACTCTGAATGTCTTGCTTTGCTATGAAAGTGCTGTTCTGGCTTGACCTGTATTCCTGATATATGTTGAATAGCACGGCGCATGAATAAAGCGGAATGTAGAGTGGGGCTTCAAGTAACGACAGCTACGCTCCTGAGTATCTTTGAGTTCATTGATTATTGGTGGTTTAAAAGGACCAGACGAATATATCTCACTAGGAAGGCATCTGCAGATGTGACGATGCATGGGACAAGGCATATTCAAGCTAGCCAGAATAGGATATATGGCACGCCGAGGGGTAAAAAATATGAATTGCGCATAATTCTGCATACAATACTCTGTACCAATTTTGAACTCATAAGTTCAACTCACGTAAGATCCCTACCTCTCCGTATATAGTTAGGGTATCTCGGGTAAGCTGAGGGACAATCCTGCAGCATTGTGGAGTCAAGTATCTTGGCCGGAATACTTACCCGTCATGTTCGCCAGGCACGTCGATTTCATGGGACGCCTGATGGGAGCTCGAGTGGGAAATGTAAGCCGGGGTTTATTTTAAAACGAAACTTGTGGGCGCCTGAATTTCTTCATCTTCTACCCATTTTTGCTCTCTGGTAGTGTGCCGCATTCACTTATTTAGCTGGTTATTTTTTTGGCCATGGGAAAAATGTCCATCTATCGTTGAGGCCATAGTAGCTGCGTGACATGGGTTTCAGCGGTATTGGCGAGCGCCAGTCAAGCCGCACTTATTTAAGCTTCACTTGATTTACCTTAGCATACTCGCTGAGCATCAGGCAGAAGAGCTGGAGAAATGATTTCCTTTCTGAGTCTACGCCATGCTTTCTTAATGCCACGTTTACAGCCGTTCTACTTAGTCTAGAGACTCGGGGGTTTGTTGGATCAAATAGTTGCTCTGATCTTGCCGTAGAGTTGCTTATAGGCTGCACCCTCCCATTCATTATATCATTTGAGCCAGAGGGTACAGCAATGCTAAGATGAGCACGCTGCTGACCGAGTGACTGACGAAAGTAATTGGATCCTCGTTGTTCCCTCGACCACGATTAAGTCAATCGATCTGGATTAATTCGGAGTGGGCCGCTCTCAAAATATATATACTCCGGACTAGTAAATTCTCACCACTACAGATGTCATCGACAATGTTTTATTAACACCTTGAGAGACAACAATTTATCTTCTAGAATTGAATAAACTATTTCAGCGTATATAATAGCGAATTCCAATAATGTATTCATCAAATACACCCACGTACATAACCCCAGTCCTAATGTACCATGGAACAGACAATGGAGGAAATTGTTGTAAAAAGTTCCCATATAAATTTAAAAATCCCCACATTAAATAACGAGTCGCCCGGATGGTCTAGTGGTATGGCAATCTTCTTCTAGTCATATCCGAACCCCACTAATTTCCTTAATAGGTATGATTCTCGCTTTGGGCTCACACCTAATCTGCGAGAGGCCCCGCGTTCGAATCGCGGTTCGGGCCCATCTCCTCTTTTTTTTTTTCCTTTTTTGCTCTTCTCTTGTTTATCCTCGAGTATCGCTACACTTACTACTGCGAACTTTTTTTCTGGAAGTAATGTAATTGTCTTCGTCTTCATCTCCTTTTTACACGTGTAAATTCGTCTCTATCATTGATTTGCTTGGCTTTACTATTATCTATTGCGTGTTATGTCCCTTTACACAATAGTCCAAGTGACCGAGTTGTCAAATACCTGTGTAGTTACCCAGTCTCTCCGGAGTTGTAGGCAATAGGTTGACTACGCATCTGCTTATGCATGAAGACCGATAGAATCAAGATCTTCGTATCTTATCAAAGCTATCTTCAGTTTCTCCTTGATTTTTAGCTGAAATGTTTCGATTTCCCCTCACATACAGTGTTTACAGCTCTAATCCACACAGTCAAGTCCACACAGGCATAAGCGGTCATCCGTAGATGAGACGAGCTTCTTGATATGTCCATTGGTACTACCCCAAACCAAATTCTAAATATTATTCTTGCCTGAACCGGCGGTTTAAAGACCTAGACTATGCAGCAGCCTAAGCACCTTTCTCTGTCAACGCTAGCACCGACCTCTTTTCCTTCGCAGAGCCATTCCGCCGCTGCGCAACATCACACAGCTCCAAATCCCCACACTCGCAATCCCCATCCCTCAACCACCGATACGTAATACTCCAGCGGTTCTCTCTCGACCGGACAGTCCCATCAGGCAGCGTGTCCGTCTTGCGCTTCTTGATGCCATGCGTCCAATGCAAGCGCGAGTCGCCCGCCATCTGCATCATACTCCGCGGAGTCAAATCAACGTCGACCCTGCGCTCGCCGCGCCGGAACTGCATGAGGGCAGGAGCGCCCAGCGACAGCGCATACAGCTGGTCGTAGGGCCCGTGGGCGTCTACATGCGGCGGGATGCCCGCGCCGGGCGGGTAGAACTGCAGACAGACCTGGTCGGGCGGGCGAGATTCAGTTGGGGGAATGAGCGGGCGCAGCCAGTCTGGGAATTCCTTGTAGGGAATCTCCGGGTCGATGTCGAAGGTCTTGTAGTCAAAGGTGTAGCCGTAGTGTAGAGATAGGCGACCTGGGCGGTCGGCCCATTCGAGCCCCTTGAAGAGGTCGATTAGACGCTGTTCGTGCTCGGCTGTCACGAAGTCATCTTGCCAGAAGATGCCGTGAGGCTCGATGGGCAGCTCGGTCAGTTGGGTTGGCTTTTCCATCCTGGCCGTCGCGGTGGGTGGGATGGTTGCACGTGACGAGTAGGTTATGCTTCGGCCATTTGGTCCACAGCTTAGAAACCTCTAGGCAGACATTATGCTGCAATGTTTGCTCTAATGTCTAATTATTTTTGACGCGAGAGCCTAGCCGCTCAAGAGCTGTACACTCGCGAAACAACAAATACGAAGGGAAACAAAATCAAAAAAATCCAGATTAGTCATTTGCCGCCGCTTTAACAAAGTGATGACAGCAGCTTATTGTAGCTGGTACGCTACAACACTGACCAGACTAAAGATAGGGCTTGACCTGACTGACATCCAACATGTTTCTGGTAGATCTGTCTCAAGGCCTTGCTCATACTTATCCCTAAAATTTATATACAAACGACTTTGGTCTGCCGACCGTGCTCTCTTCTTATACTGGCGATGACGAACCCGATAAACAAGCCGCCATTTGGGGCTGCTCGATCTGCGCTATAAGGACTATACGAGATGCATAGGCATGCTTTTGGCTTGTCAAGATCGAGGCCTTCTTGCACAGTCCACAATCTACGTGTAAATGTGTGCAAAACCAATTGATCACCAGATGACAATAAAGTGAATACTGACAGGCAAGAAAAGGCCCGCGGTCCAGATCCCACGTCCACTCTTGATACAGTCCATAGGCTTGGTAGCCTCTACTATTATCACGGAATACTAGTAGATGAGATGTATCAGCGAGTACCAGCAGGTAAGGAGAAGGACCCTTTGGCCCAGATCCCAGTAGGACATGGTGGAATAAAGAGATTAAATAGGCCAAGCATTACAGGAAACACTGCACACTACATCCTGTGGAACATACTTCGTTGACTCCGATATATTCTTAGTAGCAATTTTAGTACTGCTGTATATATAATCTTTTCGACTTTAATACCATGGAACTGACCCTTTACTTCATTACATGTTTTGTTTGTCCTGACATTTTCTGGTGATGGCCAGACTCTCTAGCAACCCATAACAGTACTGAATGATCTCCTCCAAACCAAGATAAGGTCAGTGGGTGTTTTCATTTATCAACTATGAACAATGATAAAATCATGTAATTATCTTTATTATGGTATAACCAAGTACATACGACCATAGGGTGTGGAGAACAGGGCTTCCCGTCCGCTCAGCCGTACTTAAGCCACACGCCGGCCGGTTAGTAGTATGGTGGGTGACCACATGCGAATCCCGGCTGTTGTATGTTTTTTTTTTTCTTGTAGTTTTACATGTGCTTGCTTATCTTCAATCATAGGTGGCATGGCATGGATAAATGTCATGAGTAGATCTATTTTCATGTGCATGTGGACAGGTTCCTGCGTGCCATTGAAAATGTGCCTTGGAGTTTAAACCTCTTAGTATATGATACAGTTTTGAATGTCGAATATCACTTCAAGCAGTGGTATTATGAAATAAGTAAGTTAAAGCTAGCAATACTGATCACCAACAGGTGAACCGAAGTTTGCTACATTCCCTGCATCCTACCCCCTAGCTGCTTTCAGGTGGAAAGGGGATTTGAAAGGATATACTGAGAATTATAATTTAACCCGTCTGCTTCAACGAGGTCAATCTGGTAAGGGCTATTACAAGAAAGCCGGATCCTCTAGCATCTTAAAATGGTTCATATCAGGTGAAACAAACATCACTTTGAAGCTACTCTGTAAGCACCTCATTGTTGATCAAGTGTATACCCATCCTAAGCACACAGTTTCTAGAGTTGATCATCGATCGAATTGATAGTATGAATTTGTGTTTATATATTGCCTGTTCCCTTGCAAGCTAGTTATCATGGCCATTTACACTTCTCTATACCGCAATCAAAGCAACAGAATGACCATGATCAACTCACTGATCGCATTGGGTCTATAGAAACCAAAAAATCAACAATGTGTGAAGAGAGACAGACGCCAGTAGGAACCGGAGTGCCTTTTGTGACCAAACAATTCATTTGACCACGACAGCACCGCCCTCGTTTTGTTTACCAATTTCCGTTTCCTGCATTGCCATTGCCATTGCCGTTGCCACCACCATTACCCTCCTCGGCACGCTTCCAGTCACCCCTGTGATGATCACCGCGGCCACCACCGTGACCATGGCCATTGTTGCCATATCCATTGTTGCCATAGCCGTTGTTGCCGTTGGCGTAGCCATTGTTCGGGATATGGGGGTCGTCGCGAGCGAGAGGCTTAGTGACGTGGTTCAGGAGGGGGTTGATACTGTCCTCCTTGTCTTCGACATCGCGTTTCCAGTTACCCCTATGAGGATCACCACGGCCACCGCCGTTGCCGTATCC